AATATTTCTTGATGCGCAAAAAGCTTTTGACAATTTAAATTGGCAATTTATGTTTCAGCAGCTGATAGAAATGGACTTTTGGAAAAATTATATAAATGCAATTCAAACAATTTACCATAAACAAATGGCTAGAATAATTTTAAATGGAGATTATACAGAAACCTTTGATATTAAAAAAGGTACAAGGCAGGGATGTCCACTATCCCCACTATTAATTATACTAATATTGGAAGTACTGACTAGAAATATTAGACAAGACATCAAAATTAAAGGATTGGAGATAAAAGAACAAAAATATAAATTACAAGCCTTTGCGGATGACCTGGTTTTTATCTTGGAGGAGCCACTTGAAACAGCTACCAAACTGTTGGAGAAAATAGAAAAGTTTGGAGAAGTGGCAGGTTTGAAAATAAATAGAGAAAAGGCTAAAGTATTAACAAAGAACTTAACAGACAAACAGAAAACTCAACTCACAAAAAATACAAACTTACAAATAGTTAAAAAAGTTAAGTATTTAGGAATCTACTTAACAGCAAGATGTATAACATCAGGGCTTTTTTTGTCATAGAACGCCCAGAACGGAGTTCCAGCACCTTTTTTGGATGGAACCTTGTAGGGTAGGCAAGGGGGGTTGTATGATGTGTGAGTTCCGGCACCATTTTTTTTTTTTTACAAAAAAAGCACTGTATAACATTAAAAGAAGACAACTATGAAAGATTGTTGAAACAAATAAAATTGGACTTGGAAAAGTGGAAAAATCTTCAATTGTCACTGTTGGGAAGAACAGCCACAGTGAAAATGAATATTTTACCGAAAATACTCTTCTTATTCCAAATGATTCCTGTAAAATTGGGAAAGTTCTTTTTTGATGACCTAAACGCAACAATATTGAGATTTATTTGGTAAGGGAAGAAAGCACGAATTAAAGTGAAAATGTTACAAGAAGCTAAAGATAGTGGAGGATTTGGACTCCCAGACTGGAGACTATACTATCAAGCACCCATCTTACTATAGCTTAAAGAATGGATAATACTGACAAATAAAAGACTATTGTACCTAGAGGGGCATGACCTACAAATTGGTTGGCATGTCTTCCTATGGTATGGGGAAAATAAAACACATAGATACTTTCAAAACCACTTTATAAGGAATGTACTTCTTTTAGAATGGGAAAGAATAAAGCAGAAGGTTTATATTAAACTACCTGAATGGCTTTCAACCATGGAAGCTTTTGCTTACCCAAATTTAATTAACTATGACAAAGTCGTCACTTATAAAGATATCTTGGAAAATGAAGGAAAATTGAAAGATAGACAAGATCTACAATGACAAGGTATTGACTTAGCATGGTGGCCATATTTGCAAATTCAAACGAGATATGGAAAAGATGCAAAGACAATGGGATTTTATAAAGACAGAATTTGACCAAATATTGTTAAAAACAGATGAAAACCTGATTAAGAAACTTTATAGATTTCTATTAAAATTGAAGATGGAAGAAGAACAAGTAAAAGAAACAACGGTAACATGGGCAAAAAACTTTGGCTATTCTATAGATTTGGAAGACTGGTAAAAACTATGGAATAGAAATATTAAACTGACTAAAGCAGTCTCATATAAAGAAAATTTGTATAAAATGTTTTATAGATAGCATATGACACCAGTAAGACTAGCAAAAATGTTTAAAAATACTTCGAATATTTGTTGGAAATGTAAACAAAGGCCAGGCACTTACTACCATATCTGGTGGATATGCCCTAAAGCGAAAAAGTTCTGGCTTAAGATACATACATGGCTGGAAAAGATGACTAAAAGACAGATAGAATTCAAACCAGAACTGTTTTTGTTAGGAATATTAAGAGCTAAGTATGAGAAGGAGAATTTTAATATTGCATGTACTGACAGCAGCGAGAATAGTATTTGCCCAGTACTGGAAAAATGAAAATTTACCAACTGAAGAGATTTTAATTAAGAAAATTTTAGAATGTGCAGAAATGGATAGCTTAACCTTAGAGATCAAAGAGAAAGAAGATTCAGTTTATTTTAGAACATGGGAAAATTTTTACCAATGGTTAGAAAAACGAACTAGTGAGAAATGAATGTGATATGTTATTTTGAATATATATTAGTAAGAAGAATGATGTGTATTGACCAACCAATACTGTTCATGATTATCGTTTATCATATTTACTACAGCTATTTACCATTATATTAATCAGTGTTAATTGAACATATGTACCCAGACAATAATCTGCTTGCTAAAGCTTGAAAATGTTATTGGGGGGTAACACCAATGTTGTTTCCAATCCCATCCTAACCCCAATCCCGATTCTAACCCTACCCTGAACCTTAATCCCTATCCTGGTCCTAGCCCTTCCCTAACCCTATAAAACTCAATAAAAACTTTTATTTTAAAAAAATGACAGATTTTTATGGAGTTGACTGAAAGGCTTGAAGCTTTTTTTTTTCCAAAGAAATTTTATTATTTTCCATCATAAAAAACAATCATAGCATAAGTAAACACAATAACAAATAAAAAACCCCCACCCACCCCCCGGACTTCCCAAACCTAATCCCAGGATAATATTCATATAAAAGTAAACAAATACTAATGTCTCTAACTCCACAAAATATCTTAATCTATATGAACAGATAGAAAGAGTAAACAAAATAAGAAAATCTAAAAACCTAAATTATATTCTACCACTCTATGCTTCTTTTGAATATAAACAATCCATCTTCTCCATATTGATAAAAATTGTTCATTCGAATGATTCTTCAAATAAGC